TTTTCTTATACTGTGAGTGAGAGCAGGAGTCTGAGAACAAGGTTAGCGACTGGAATAGGGGTTCTGATATTCTGGATAACAGAAATACATGCTATTTTTAAGAACTAAAGCACTGGTATCGTTGCTGATATATACTGCCTTTACTGTGATATATTTCTAACAGCTTTATTGAGGTATAATTGATATACAATAAACTGCTCATATTTCAAGGGTACAATTTGTAAGTTTAGACAAATGTATACACTCAAGAAAGTATGAACAAAAGGAAAAATGAGGGGGAAACCAATAAAGAAGGAGAGGGGATATGTGCACTTCTATACCTCCCCCTCGTATTAATAGCATTCCTCCACCTCACTATTATGTTATCATCAGAATGTATACCTGTCAAATCCCTCATTTTAAGTATCCCTCTCATTCAGAATATCCCATTTTGCTATAAAATATCCCTGATTAGTATGCTATGAAAAGAAAATCTCATAAATTTAATCAGTGTTGAATTTTAAAAGTCAACAATATGTTAAAATTGCATTTGTAGTAAAGAACAGAACTTCTCAATCAAAAGCATGTAATTGTTATATCATACATTCATAAAGAAACTGTTATAAAATTTAAATATTATTGAGAAAACAGTGTTTTAGAATCCCACATAAAGTTAACACAAGAGAAGTTTACAGTAGTTTAGGTTTTTCCAAATCATTGTAAAAGTAATTGATACACAATATTTGATATCTATTGCTGCGTAACAAGTTACCCCCAAGCTTAGTAGCTTGAAACAACAAACACTGATAGCGTCACAGTTTCTGTGTGGAGGGAATCAGATGTGATTTAATTGGGTGCCCCTGCCTCAGCTCTCATGAAGCTGCAATCAAAGTGTCAGCCGGGACTGCGGTCTCATCTGACCGCTCACCTGGGGGAGGATCCACTGCCAAGTCTATGCACATGGTTGTGGGCAGGATTTCGTCCTTCTCAGGCTGCTGGAATGAGGCCCTCAGTCCTTTGCTGGCTGCTGCGTGGGAGCCTCCCTGAGCTCTTTGTTGTGTGGGCATCCCCACTGGGCAGCTGACTTCTCTGAGCCAGCAACGGGGAAGGCAAGTGAGAGAGTGAGAGAGGAAAGCAAGACTGAAGTGACATTCCCTCACTTTTGCCTTATCCTTTTCTTTAGAAGTGACTTAGTAAGTGTAGATCACACTTAAGGGGAGGGGTCTCCAGAGGCCAACTTAGAGGCTGCCTACCAAGACATAAAATCTTTTCATAGAATTTTTTGAGAGGAAGTTTGATTTTTCTATTTCCAACAATTAAGTTCCCTAGTCCCAATGAGCTACTCAGAGTTGGTGTCTAAGAATCTTGGAACCTAATGGGACCCAGCACAATACCCACTCGAGAAAATGGATGGCCAAGTTTGCCTTCCAAGGCCCCTGGGACTGATCACAATCATCTTCCCACTTTCCTTCCTCTCCTGAAATAAAATAGTTTTTAAAACTGCTCTAATTAGTTTACCTATAAAGCGTTTCTCCTACTATACGGAAAAATGGTGTAATAAAGTGTATATTTAAAAACCACCTTTTGTAAACAAGTTTTAAATCATTTAACATTTCGTTTAATAGCATTAAAGAGGACCCCTTAATACATAAACAGGCCTGGGTCCTTATCCCCAGAACTCCCACCTACCCATCACTTCAAGGAGACCTGGGGGCCAGGGGCCAGGTGTCAGGCCCTGGGAGCCAGCAGCTGTATCAAAGGAGTATGACAGTGGGACTGTGACCAAGAATCTCAAGCCTCTTACAGGTAGAGGGGCCGGCCACATCCCAGAAGGGAAGGGTAGCATGACCTGCCTGTTGCTGGGTCCCCTGGCTTTTGGACAGACCTGGCCTGTGAAGTCCTACCATTGTGGCACTGTGTCATCCGCCCATCATGTTCCATTCCATGTGGTCACAGAAGCACTATGTGGATAATTTTTTCAAAAAATTTTTTTAAAAAAGGACAAAAAGAAATTTCATTTGAGGGAAAAAAGAAAAAAAAGAATTTCTGAATTCTTAGCCTTGGCATTTCACTTTCCTAAAATGAAGCCAAGAAATCTCACAACTCTATATCAATATGCTTTGGTGCTAAAAACATAGAACGACCTGAACCACTAAAGAGAAGGCTGAGCGGATATATCGCCATGCGGCTCATAGTTACCTGCACTCAATGAACCAGTGCCAGATCTGGTCCTGAAGGGTCTCCCTGATGTCTGGACCTTCTATCAACTTCAGGTCGTCCTTGATTATAACCATGGCTTCCTTGTAGTCCTCTTCGTGCTTTGTCTGCACCTCGTTGCGCAGTAAGTTCACCTTCTCAGCCTGCATTATCGTGGCACTGACTTCATTAAAGAGAGGAGGTGGACTCTGAAAATACCAGCAAAAGATTTGAGATCACAGAAGTTAGATAGCTGTTAAAAAATGTTAGAAATTAATCAAATATGCCAATATTTTCAATGGTGTCCTATCAGGCACCTGAGAAATACAAGAATATAGAAGGAGCAAAGCGAAATGCATGTGTTTACTCTGCCTGTTTAACTAGAAGTCCCTAATGTAACTCTTTATGTTCCTGTTTTTGAGTTTTTCAGCATTCATATGTTTGAGGTTTCTCTTCTGTCAACAGCATATAACTGGATTTTTAAAGATTCTACCTGAGAGGTATAGAAAAGAAAAATTTTATTCATATGTAGTTACGAAACATTTGGAGCTAATCCTTCCTCTCTGTTTTCTAACACACTTCCTTGTTTTTCCTTTCTTACCTTCTGTTGGATTTATGAAGTTAGCTTTGTTTATCCTTGTCATCTAGTGGTTTAGAAACTACACGTTTAGTTTTAATCTACCAGCTGTTCTTAAAATTTTACATGTTAACATCTATATTTCTATCTCTGTCTAGAATTTGTCACTATCTACACACTTTCTTTGAACAAGTCTAGGACCTCTACATGTGTTCACTTTTCTTCCTCCAACCTCTCATTTTATAATCACAGATTATGATTAATCTTTTAAATCAGCAATTGTTTAAATTTAACCATAAGTTGTCCTGGTTTTTCTGTTGACCCTTCTTCTTTTTCCTATGTTTTCATTTTGCTGAAGCATGTCCTTGAGTGTAACTTTCAGATAGATATGTACAGCCATAAATATTCTGAGTACTTGCATTCTTAAAGATGTCTTTATTTGGTGACCCCCCTCCCCACTTGAATGGCAGTTTGGCAGTTTCCTTGGAGGATACTTCTAACATGCAGAGCTGCTAATGACTAACTTGTTGTAAATTTAATTGTTATTCTTTTGTAGACAAGGTGTTTTTCTTCCTGAAAGCTCTTATAATGCTTTATCCTTGGAGTTTTGAAAGTTTATCAGAATGTGTCGAGGTGTGGGCATTTCTTCCTTTAACATATTATCCTTTGGTGGGTCCATTCAATATGAAGAATTGCATCTTCAACTGTGCAAATTTTTCTTCTATTATTTTTATTTATTTATTGATTGATTCATTTACTGATTGATTGATTGATTGATTGGCAGGGCACAAAGAGCAAGTTTATTTGGTGAAGGATGATGCAAACATCACCCAAGAAGGACAAAATGGGAGAGGTGCTGTGACAAGACAGCCTAGGAAGCCTTTGAGGCTAGATGCAAAAAGTCTCACACAGGGAAAGGCACGGGGTCTGGGGATACTAGGAATGTCCTCAGCCATTCAGCACCATATGGACAAGCTCTTTGAAGTTGATACAACCACTGCTGTCCTTGTGCCTTGCCGCCAGCATCTTTACTTCTTCCTCTGTCATCTTCTCACACAGAGTGAAAAGGACATGCCAGATTTCAGCACCCATTACTGCGCCGTTCCCTTCTTTGTCAAACAACTGAAGGCCTGCAACCTAATCCTCATAGGTGCCCTGGTCCTTGTTCTTGGGCACAGTCTGCAGCGTGGGCAAGAAGCGCTCAAAGTCCAAAACCTTCACATTCATCTCATCACTCTTGGGGTTCCCCAGGACCTTGAGCACCTGGGCATTAGTGGGGTTCTGGACCAGGGCCCTCATCACGTCCCCACATTGACTGTACAGGATCTTGCCATCACCTGCTTGGACAAACAGCTGGAAGGGAACCTTCACATTCATCTCATCACTCTTGGGGTTCCCCAGGACCTTGAGCACCTGGGCATTAGTGGGGTTCTGGACCAGGGCCCTCACCACGTCCCCACATTGACTGTACAGGATCTTGCCATCACCTGCTTGGACAAACAGCTGGAAGGCCTCCTTGAATTCTGCGGTCTGGTCCTCAGTGAAGTCACACATCTTGACTGCTCAGCTCCGTCGGACCTTTTCCTACAGTAACGGCTCTGACTCCAGGCCCAACCCTAGTCTCTTCTATTACTTTTAATCTGCATTTCTCTGCTGGCAACAAATATTAGATAAATGCCAGACCACCAGATTGATCTTTCATGACTTTTTATATTTTTCATCTCTTGTTTGTCTATTTGCACTGTAATAGAAGATTTCTTTATCTTCCAGAACTAATTTGACTTTTAGTTATGTCTATTTATTATTTGGATTTATTTAAATTTTGTGGTGGCTATTATTGTTTTATTTTTTGGCATGCTTTTATTTTCCCAGAATTCTTTCTTATTTTTTATTTGCTCCTTACCTCTTTTTTAGAAGCCACTACAGGAAAATTTTTTTTACATGCAACATATCCTTAAATATCTCTGAATATACCAGTGAATTATTTTTTCCAAATTCTCTCTTTTCCTCAAGATTCAGAAGAGCTTAAATATACATACCCCTGTTCCATCCTGATGAGAGGAAGAACTGAGACATTAGTAATTTTAGAAAATCTTCAGGTGATTCTGATAATTACCCAGGATTGAAAAGCACTAAGTGCTCTAGAACGGGATTCGGCAACCTATAGCCAACGGGTCAACCCTGGTCCACTGCATAGTCCCATAAGCCACGTTTCACTGGAACACAGCTACTGCCATTCACTTATGTATTGTCAGTGGCCACCTTGACACTGTGATGATGATGCTCATGTTGTGACAGAGATCGCATGGCCTGCAAAGCCCAAAATCATAATGATGACCACAAAGATGATGAGAAGAACAGGGATAAAGATAAGGATGGGAATAAGAAGTTGTTTAAAAGAGGAATTGAAGAAGAAAATGCAGGTGTCACTTCCTGAGTGCCTCCTGGTCACCACTCGCTCTACAGAACTAATCCCTTAAGCCTTACCACACACCCGTCCAGGCCGGTGCTACCATCGTGTAAGGAAATGGAATCAGAGAGGCTAATTAACTTTCCCAGATTCACACGCCTGGCAAACAGCAGAGGCAGGAAATGACTCTTACTTTTTCTGATCCAAAGCCATGCTCTGGGATTTTGGGACAGAATGACTGGGTTTAATCTTGGCTACTGCGGTGATTTTGTGCAAGGCACTTAATCTCCTAAGGCTGTTTCCTCCCCTTAAGCTGGGAATGGCACTCGGCTGTGAAGACAGAATGGAACATTCTGTGCCAGGCCCTGCAACAGAGGCTGGCTTCAAGTCAGCGCTCGATGAATGTTCGCCACGGTTGCTGATGGGGTGGTTGTCACTATGCCAGATTCCACCAACAACCATTTGGGTGAAGCCCAGGAACGCCAGGGAGCTATGGTGTGAAGAAATTTCCAGGGATGAGAGAACAGCATTAAAATCCATTTCAAAAGCTGTGAAACAAGAATGTAACAAAATTCAAGACCTTATTTACAAAAGACATTGGTAAAACTATAAATCGATTACTCAGAAAAAAATGATGATCAATTCATGTCTATACTGAAATAAAGTTCAAATGGATTAAACATTTATATGTAACAAGCATGTATGAGCAAACACACACACACACACACACACACACACACACACACACAGACACACACACACAATCTCTAAGAAATACCTATGAATGTCCAGAGGTGGCAGGGATTTCACAACGGACATGCTGTTAGAATAGCACATCCACTTAATGCCATAAAGTCAAGTGAAAAAAGAAAAAAAAATCCCACATGTAATACTCATATAATACTTTGTAAATATATGCATTAGAAAACCTAAGGAAATAAGCCAATTTTCTAAGTTCAGTGTAATGAGAATGCACAACTTTTATGACAGGGGGAAAAAAATTACTTTAAAAGGAAATATGGAATGAGAATTATAGCATCATTTTAAAGAACACTGCTAAAAACAAATGATCTAAATCGCCTCACTATACAGGTGCCCAGTCATGATTTTTCTTAATTTTATGTATTTTACATTAAGATTGAGAGAGAAATTTCCTTTATTTAATCATTTAAAAAATATCCAATTCTTATACCTTTCAGGTGATGTTTTTAATTCCTAGTGTTTACATTTTAAATGCATGAAACAGAAGTTTATAATTCACAGAGATTTTAATCGTATCTCTCCAGTGGCTCATTTAAAGTTAACTGTTTTCACGATGATGTTAAAATGGATCTCTGCAACAAATGCCCCAAATTTCTTTGCCTCTGACGAATGTATAAAATCATTTTGAAGTTTTGCATTAATGTTTGATTGTCTACTGCATCTATGAATCATATGATGCTGCTTCCCCAAATTACATTTCCTATGGTTAATTGTAGGTTTCCTTTTACAGACAACCTATACCTTAGTTGGGCCTTTTCTCCTTTCATCCCTAAAAGTGAATGAAGGAGTAGGTAACCCTGATTTGTCTCTTATCAGTGGCTCTATAAGAAGTGTTCGGCAGACTTCCTAACACTTCCATGATCTATGAGGGAAGCAGAAAACGATGCTCAGCTCTGAGCAGATTTCCATAACAACCCCAACGGCATGGCATTCTCTCCTGCATTTCTTCACTGCAATTCTTTATTGATGTCCACATCCATCCTTTGAGGTGGAAATGAGGACGTGACCATCCCATTGAATGAGGGAAGCAGAAAACGATGCTCAGCTCTGAGCAGATTTCCATAACAACCCCAACGGCATGGCATTCTCTCATGCATTTCTTCACTGCATTTCTTTATTGATGTCCACATCCATCCTTTGAGGTGGAAATGAGGACGTGACCATCCCATTGAACGGATGAGGAAATGGAGTTTAGAACTAAATGACTGCTCCAAGTCATTCCATGTTAATGAAGAAGCCAGCACTGAGATTTTCTGGTTCTTTTAGCTCTGTATTTCTCCTATTACACCATGCTGTGCTGTTAATATGTGTGTATTCATGCGTGTTTCTCAATATAGACTTTCTCTGACAAAAATACATGCGGGTCATTTGTAGCTTCTTTCTTTAGTTGCTTTTGAATTTAAAGGTTATAATATATTCAGGTCCTGTGTTAATGAACAGCTTTTCCTTTGGGCTAAAAC